TCAATTGCCAGGTAGTTTCAAATCATACAACCCCAATTTTTGTAGGATATGCTTCCTGTTGTCCCTCTATCACTAGCAAAGCTGCACCAGGAACATGAGCCGCCATCCCCATAGCTGCCTTTTGTGGAGTTGGGAGTTAATGAATGGTACAGCCAGCCACTACACAAAATGCTAAAATTTACCTCAAGTTAACAGCCTCTTTCTTCATCAGGTACTCCCACAGATGCTACAAGTGTATGAGTAGACGTCACAGTTCCAAAATGGTTTATTCAGATGTTACGTGCCAACTAAACAGTTGTTTCGGTGTAGGGACTGAATCCTGGATCTTCCTACTTTGCCATCTTTCATTATAGCAGTTGCATCTGTGTTTTTATTTTAGGTAGTTGTAATCTCTTGAAAATTACAGTTTTATAATCTGCCTATATAAGATGTTTAATGTTACTATATATTTACCTGATTTTTTAATGCTACAAATAATATACCTATCTATTTTGAAAAAAATACTGATCAGAGTTGTAGAATTCTAAGAAATTGCATTCAACAAATCATATTATTTTGGTGAGTTTGAGTCTTTTTCTTAAGTATATTTATTTATTTTGAGAGAGAGCATGTGTGAGCAGGGGAGGGTCAGAGAATCCCAAAAGCTCCCCGCCGGCAGCACAGCAGATCATGACCTAGACCTGAGCCGAGATTAAGAGCTGGATGCTTAACTGACTGAGTCACCCAGGCACCCCAAGCTTGAGTCTCTTTAAGACTGGCCCCTTTCTTTTAAGTTCCTGTTCACCATTACTTGCCTGGTAAATTCCAAACTGGTCTTCTTGTTTCTATTTTCACTTTGTTTTCACGGTCACAGAAGGACATATAATAGTGGTTGCCAGGGGCTAAGAGCAGGGGAAATGAAGAATCGTGGTTCTGTGAGTATAAAGTTTTAGTTCAGCAAGATGATAGAGTTCTAGGGCCACCTGGGTGGCCTAAGCGTCTGACTTCGACTCAGGTTATGATCTCAACATTTCTGAGTTCGAGCCCCACGTCATGCTCTGTGCTGACAGCTCAGAGCCTGGAGCCTATTTCAGAGTCTGTCTCCCTCTCTGTCCCTGCCCCTTCCCCGCTCGTGCTCGCTCGCTCTCTCTCTCTCTCTCTCTCTCTCAAAAATAAAAAATAAACATTAAAATTAAAAAAAAAAAGATGATAGAGTTCTAGATCTCTACAACATTTTGTTATGCAAATACTGTACTGTATGCTTAAAATTTTGTTAAGAGGGTAGATTTCATGTGTTCTTACTGCAGTTTTTAAAAAAATCAAAGTGATAGCATTAACAAAAATGCTGGTGACGTATACCTAATAAAGTTGTCAGCTTTAAAGAAAAAATTGAAAGCCTAATAGAAGAAGATAAAGAATTCAGGCTTGTTGCTGGAGACGAGTGCATAAAGATCAGGGAGAACCATACAATAAGCACTTTTAAGTCTTCTTTGCATAACCAGATTGAGCCAAGAGGAAACTTGGGGTGAGTGGGTATCATATACTATTCTTACATGGTTTGTTGTGTTTAGCTGCTGTTACCTCCAAGTGCAAAAATTAAATAACAGGATAAACTGGGGTGAACCAGTGTGATTTCTTAGTGCATTGACATAATTCCCCTGCTTACAAGTTGTACGTGTACATGAGCTAATTCATGTGTTGAATTGTGTTGTAGATGAATGGTAGTGGTGACATTCTGCCTTTTCTGTGCTTACCGTTCCTTTCTTTCCACTCACAGTGCCCAGGTTATTTGTATCATCTTCCAGCCATGTGTGTCCTTCTGATGTCTTTTAATTTGTTCTTTATAATGGTACAAGAGTTGTCTGTTAGAAACATTAAATCTAATCAAATCAGTTTCTATCATTAGAGCGTGTTTCCCATACTCTTGGTGTGTGCAATTCATTCTCCATGGTCTCTATTTTCATTTTCCTCTATGATAAGAGATTTTCTTCACACCACATTTTGGAAAATATGCCCTAAGCTTTAAACTGTATTATTGGCTACCTTTAGAACCTCAAATAACACAATTTTAAGCCTACATATATTAATTTATCAACTTTCTCCAAAATTTTGTCAAGTGATTCCCTGTTATAAAAAGGGAGAGTATTAATTTATGTGTTTCCTTTTGTGTTTTCCTGTTTCCACTCATCTTCATCTTCCAATTTTTGTTAGAATACTATGTGATACACTGTCCTGACTGATTTTGTCAGTGTGTAACTTTGTAGCTTTTTTGACAACTATTCAACACATTCTGTTCTAAGACCATAGTAAATTGTCATACACATTTATGTGCTTAAATGAATTTATTTTTCATCTCTTGTCTTTTTTTTGATACCACTTTTCTGTGAGTTCCTTATTTTGATACAGCAAAGGATAAGTCGCTATGGCTTATAGAGCACTAAGTCTTTTTCTGGAAATACAGTGGAACCTTTTGATCAAATTTAGAGCTTCATTCAGGAAATTTCTGTTACATAATTTAAGTATATTTTCTCATTTTGTTGTCTTTTTTTTAATTTTTTTTTAAGTTTATTTTTTTTTCAACGTTTATTTATTTTTGGGACAGAGAGAGACAGAGCATGAACGGGGGAGGGGCAGAGAGAGGGAGACACAGAATCGGAAACAGGCTCCAGGCTCTGAGCCATCAGCCCAGAGCCTGACGCGGGGCTCGAACTCACGGACCGCAAGATCGTGACCTGGCTGAAGTCGGACGCTTAACTGACTGCGCCACCCAGGCGCTCCTCATTTTGTTGTCTTTCTAACCAGCATCAGTTAACTGTTGGGTCTGCAAGAATAATCACCTCCAACCATTTTATTGCTGTAGTTTTTCTTTACTTGCTTTTTCTCAAAATTATTCTCTATTAATGACTTGGCTTTACTGCTTTGATCTGTTGATGTAATTATTCTGCTAATAACTCTATATTATGTTCTATATTATATTTGTCTTATCTATTTTTTCCTTAACTCTGTATGCTACCTTTTCAGCATCTTTTTTTTTTTTTTTTAGGTTTATTTGTTTATTTTGAGAGAGCGTGTGTGCGTGAGCAGGGGAGGAGCAGAGAGAGAGGGGGAGAGAGAGAAAGAATCCCAAGCAGGCTTTGAGCTGTCAATGCAGAACCCAACAAGGAGCTTGAACATACAAACAGATCATAACCAGAGCCAAAATCAAGAGTCAGACGCTTAACCGACCTAGCCACCCAGCCGCCCCTCAGTATCATTTTGATCATAAGAGTTTTAATTTTTTCAAAAGGTAAAGCAGTATGTTCCTGAAATTTTCTTCTATTTCCTGGGACAAATATTAATCTTGCATGGATTTTTCATCTGTCTGATGGCTACGTGGGTATAGTTTGAATGGTTTTGTTAGGCCTTGGAAAAGCTGATGGGGCTTGTCCATCATTTTTGTCTAAGGAAGACTTTGAACTTTTCCTCCCTCTGCTTCAGATGAACTAGTCTATTACTTCTGAGGCCTGGGACTTTATACATTGTGTGGTGGTTGTGGTGGTGCTGCTGTTACTGAGGTTAGGGATGATACTGATTTATATGCAATTTTCTTAATCCTGATTTTTCTAACTCTTTACCCTTCCTTTTGGATACAGGACAAAATATAGAACCTTGTCACTTACTCCTCTCCTTATAAAGTATTCTTTGGCCATTAGGGAAAGAAGAACTTCAACTAGGGCATTCTGCATCTTTGCCCTTACCACATCAGTGTTTCTATCCCCATCTACCAATATGGAGGTGCCAGTGAAAATTTCTCAGGGCATGCCGCATGTGGATTCTCAGACTCGCCTTCCAGTTTGGACTAACAAATTCAGTAGCTGAGTGATACTTTTTAATAAAAGTTATGGTATGAATTTGAGATCTTCTCAATAGGGGTATTTTAACTTTTCATTTTCTTTAATTTTAGGGAGGGATATTCTTCTGCAAGCCTACATCTATGCCACCATCTTTCCTGGAAGCAGCATAAGTAATAGAATTTTTAGGATGGGTGGGTCATTATTTAAAAGGAAATAGCATTCATATTTAATCTAGCCCTGAATCAGTTTTGCAGAAAAATGCATACATTCAAAATATTGCACAGTGTTAAACGTTTACTCCCTTTAGGTTAGTCTTTAAGTGGATAATATATGATCTTTCAAACTTTCTTATTTGGAACTTACGTATGGATGCAGATATTTTCAGCGGTGTAAGACAGTAAACCTGAAACTTTAGTGTTCATAAGAAACTCTTAAGGAATTGGTTTAAAATATAGATTTCTAGACTCTCCTCAAAGTCTGATTCAATGGATTTGAATAGGATTCCAGAAATCTTTTTAGCCAGCTTACCATTGTGCAGGTGGTCTACAGTTTAACTTTGAGTCATGCTGTCTTAAGTGTTGAAATAATCATATTTAATTAATGAGAAAAATATTTTAGGTAACTAGGTCATTTCAGGCTGTCCCCTGGGGTGAATACCTGACAGCCGCTTGGCTTGGCTTCTAGAGGACCTACTACTCACCAGGATAGATGTTCCCTTCATTGTCTTCTTTTAATCCAAAAGTTCAATTTGGTATTTTGTGGACAGGGAAGTCTTCACTTGCCACTCCCAACAAGAAATCTCACGTAGGCTTGCCAGTTTTTTATGTTGCTGAATGATGACATTCAAAATAAATCAACAATGAAAGGACATTTTTAACACCTCCTCTCACCATAATCACCAAAGATATAAATAAATAAAGATGTAGGAAGAACACGACCTCATGATACAGATTGTTTTTTAAATTGAGTACATTGAGCTCTAGGCAAAACCCACTCTGTTTTCCTCTTTTTTTAAACAAAATTTCTTTAGTTACAGATTAATAGATATTTTCTCACAGCTGACATTTAAGAACTGCTGTATTGGAACAGCAATTTATTGGAACTGTACTTGGAAGAGTATACTTCTGACGGTCACTACCTGAATATGATGAGTAGACATATATCTCATATCCTCTCTTTTCTCACCAGTTCGATCCTTTGGTACAGAAGACAGACCAACAGATCGTCCAATACCACCTCGTGATGAAGTCTTTGAATACATCATATTCCGTGGGAGTGATATTAAAGACCTCACTGTTTGTGAGCCACCAAAACCACAATGTTCTTTGCCTCAGGACCCAGCTATCGTTCAGGTAACGGATAGTAAATTTGTCTTAAGAGTGCAAGAAAACTGCAACTACATGGCTAGCCTTAGCTTGTACATCTCTTGGATTTTGGCTTTTTTTTTTTTTTAATTTTCTCAGTTGAATGTTCGTGTACTTACCATTTCCTAGGCACCTAGATACCTAAAATACCTGGATAATGTTTTCACCCAGGTTTTATTCTTTAGATCATAAGTTGGGACTAAATAAAGTAAGCGATAGCAGAGGAATTTATTTTTATCATAAAATATTTCCTAATTTCAGCAATAGTTAGAATAGCTTATATTTATTGAAGTCTAACTGTATGAGAAGCACTATTCAAACCACTGCACATAGAATAAATCAATCCTCACAATACTCTCTGAGCTTGGTACTATAATCTTGTTTTTATATTTCTCATTTTTACAAGTGAATAAATTAATATAGAGCCACAATTTGGACAGACCAAGCAGTCTGGCTCTGGAATCCAGAATCCATGCCACTCACTGTATTATTCACATTTGGTTCATATTATAAACCAGGGTGGTAATGGCTACTCTTAGGTTAAGATAATTAAGTTCAGTGAAAAAAAGTGATAAATCACATTGGTACTTTATATATGTATATTACATAATATGCATGCAGTGTTATATAATAAGATAGCACAAAAACATAAAAGGATTTTATGTATACTTCTAAAAAGGTATGAAAAAAGAAGACCCTAAGTATTCTCAGTAAAAGAAATAAAAAATTTGTAATTTATTAGAAATAGATATAACATATCTAAGAGATTGTAAATTACGAATTAAAAAGGTTGTTCCTTTCAGTACTTGTTTCCATGTTAATTGGAAGTGTATAGAAACTGCCTGAATTTAGTTATAACAGCAGAAGAAGCAGATTTCATATAGGAATGTTTTCATTTTAGAGCATAGCTGATTAAAAGTTTATGACCCCCTAGGTTTTTCTCCTGGACCCATTTTCTTCTCAGCCTTTTTTCTTGTCAGAATTTTTGGTCATTTGCACTAAAATATGCTTGTTGACTTTTTTTAAGGTTTTAAAAATTAACTTCCCCTTTTTAATGCTGTACGTGATAAAATCTTAGTTTTCCACAAAACAGATTCTTAGAATAAATATTATCTTGCATAAGGTTTGTCTTCCAGCTATTAAAAGAAAATACCTGATAAACTCTTCTGAAGAAAATAGTAAGTGGTATATAAAATTAAAATGGAAAAAAAAAGAGGGGTGCCTGTCTTGCTCAGTGGATGGGGTGTATGATCTCAGGGTTGTAGGTTCAAGCCCCGCATTGGGTATAGAAATTAGTTAAAAAAAAAAAAAAAAAAAGGAAAAAAGAGAAAGTACCTTTTAACATTTATTTAGTATTTATTTTTCCTGAATATAAGCTTTAAAACATTTTTTTTTATTTTAGAAAGCACATGCAAGCATGGGGGAGAGAGAGACAATCTCTCTCTGTTTTTTTTGTTTGTTTGTTTGTTTTTGTTTTTGTTTTGAGAGAATGTTAAGCAGGCTCCATCATGAAGCCTGACACAGGGCTCAGTCCCATGACCCTGGGATATGACCTGAGCCTAAATCAAAAGTCGGATGTTCAATTGACCAAGCTACTAGGCACCCCGGAGTATAAGCTTTTTAATAAGAAATAGTTAAATTTATTCTTGTAATATACTTAAACTGGAGAAATTCTCTACTCTCATCTCCCCTTCCACCCCCCGCTCCTTTTTAAGTCTTAACTTTTGAGGAAGTAGTCTGAAGGAATCCTGAGAAAATCCTTAAAAGAAATTTTTTTTTCTTTTAAGTAGGCTCCACTCCCAGTGCAGGGCTTGAACTCATGACCCTGAGATTGAGTTACAAACTCTGTTGACTAAGCCAGCCAGACACCCCAAAAATGTGATTTTTTTTAATGGAGGGAGAAGAGACACATTTTAATAGAGCTAGCCCTCACCAAATAGTGGTGTTAGCTGATTGTCTTTTGTATATATATCTTCTGATAATTCTCCAGGGAAATAGTTACTTAAGTAATCAGCTTTATGGAATAAGAAGAACCAAAAGAACACAAGTTAAACTGGTGTTGAATTTCTTCCAGCCACCATAAATTTTCACTTTTGATCTTTTGATTGAAATATTCAGTAGTATTTAGTGAGTACCTGCCATGTTCCTCATAGTAGCAGTAAACACACAAAGTCCTGCCATCAGTGAGCTTATATTCTTTTGGTCATTAGTACACTTCATATTTGTATTATGAGATATTTTATATATTAAGATAAATTAGTGTATAGCATGCATACTTACATATTATAATTATTTTAGGTTTAGTAAGTTAAAGTTTTTAGAAAATGACCTTTAATGTAATGATAAATATATTTAAAAATGTAAATGGTCTTATGTGAGATAGTTTGTTTCTTCATCTCTTTCCTGTAAATTTAATAGCGCATCTCGAATGATTGAAAATATGAGCAAAATCAAAAGTGAGTTGTCTTATTTTTGTCAGCACCAGACTGAAACACAGTATAACCAAATGTAATTTTTCCCATATTTTTTTCTTCAAGCAGAGTTACTTATTCAAGTAACTTTTCTTTCCTAAATCTGCTATAAAACTCTTAACTCAAAGTAGGAGTTTATTGCAGAAAAAATTATTTATAAATCACATCCAGTGTAATTGGCACATTATCTGCAAATATTGAAATCAGAAGGGTATTAAACTGTTTTGATATTAAATGCATGTTGTAAGTTGTTATAATTGGTTTTGTATCTAGTAATTATAATTAAAGTTTTCTTAAAAGTGTAAATACTCAAATTTTTTCATTCTATACATGTTGTGTAGAGCCTGGAAAAATAACCCCGGTCTTTCTTCAGTCTTCACTAGGCTCATCTACTTCTTCATTCCAGTCAGTGGGTTCCTATGGACCTTTTGGCAGGATGTCGACATACAGTCAGTTCAGTCCAAGTTCATTAGTGGGGCAGCAGTTTGGTGCTGTTGGTGTTGGTATGTTGTGCTTTTGCTTTTTCTTTCTTCCTTTCTCTTTCTTTTCTTTTCTTTCTTTTCTTTCTTTCTTTCTTTCTTTTTTTTAATTTACCTGCCTTTACCACAAATTTGCAGACATGTTGTTTGTTGTTCTTTCTGTAACCTGTTATTTTAAAGGCTTTATTTAATGCCCTTGATGACTGACTAGTGGTTCTATGAAGGTCATCGCCCAGAATAGTCACATTTGTTTTTAAACCTACATATATCCAAGTACCAATTTTCATTGAATGTTATTTTAAATTTATATAAGCTATATCCGTTTAAAATAAGCATTTTTTTTCTGGGGTGCCTGGCTGGCTCAGTCAGAAGAATATGTGACTCTTGATCTCAGGGTTGTATGTTCGAGCCCCACGTTGGATGTGGAGATTACTAAAATTAAATAAATAAACTTTAAAAAATAAAAATAATAGTAAAATAACCATTTATTCCCAGCAGGTTGGGTTTTCAGAAAGGGATTAGAGATAATGCTGTAATTATTAGGGAATGATAATGCCAGTAAGGAGTATTTATGTTATGCAGAATGTGAAAAGATACTCATATACAGCATGTTTCGAGGGTGTGGTGCTTTGTTTATTGTAACAATGTTTTAGAAACATTAACACTGTAAGGAGAAAGCTAGATATAATCAGATCAGCTCAGTGTTGTTTTGTTTTTATAGCTGTTTAGCTCTACACCTTTACTGAAATTCCCACAGTAAGGAATAACTTTTTAAATCTCAAATTCTAGCCCTTAATCTTTGTTCGTTCAATTGAAATAACCATTTATCAGTTTACCTTGTTTCTCTGAATCACAAATCCAGTTTCAGATGTATCTTAAAACTCATCAGTATGTTAACAGGTTTTATTAAAATTAATTTCTTTTTATAAATATACTTTTTTATATAGTGATTTCAAGTATGTTGAATGTTTGGCTTTCACAAAATCAAAAAGGATGGGAAAAAATAAATCCTAAAGTTGAATGGATACAACTGGTATCCACAACTGGTGCTAAGTGTATATCAAATTGATAATATAACCACAGAGAAAAAAAGAATTCAAGTAACTTTTACACTTGTAGTAGGGATATATTGTAAGAATAAATAGCAATGTAAAAAAACCTTGACTTAGGGTTTGTAATTGGTAGTGGTATTGATGTTAATTTTTAAACTATTTTGTATGTATTACAGGATAGGGCAAATGACTAGTATATTAATATTGTTGGCAAATGCTGTTCTTTCCATGGAGAAGGGAGATAGAAATATAGGGATGTTGCAGAACCCTGTGGTGTTGAATATGAATTGGAAGTATGAATGTGAACTTATTTTTTTAAAACTGGTTATTTCTTGATTTTGTTCATAGAAAGGGCCTAGAAGCAATGATGCCCAGTGGCAGAGAATATGTGTAGACTAGTGAGTTTCAAGATACACCTGAAATTGGTTTCTAAAAATTTTTTTTTTTTTTTCAACGTTTATTTATTTTTGGGACAGAGAGAGACAGAGCATGAACGGGGGAGGGGCAGAGAGAGAGGGAGACACAGAATGTGAAACAGGCTCCAGGCTCTGAGCCATCAGCCCAGAGCCTGATGCGGGGCTCCAACTCACGGACCGCGAGATCGTGACCTGGCTGAAGTCGGACGCTTAACCGACTGCGCCACCCAGGCGCCCCTGAAATTGGTTTCTAAATACTGTTCCCCACTAAAAGGAACTGGAACCCTTGAAAAAAGAAGATGGGGAAACAATGCTCTTTTTTCTTTTTAAGTTTGTTTGTTTGTTTGTTTGTTTGTTTGTTTAAGTAATCTCTACACCCAGCATGGGGCTTGAACTAATGACCCCAAGATCAAGAGTTGCATATTCTTCCAACTGAGCCAGCTAGGCACCCCAACAGTAAATAAAATAAAAGTTCTTTATTTTATTTACTTTTTTTTTTTTTTACCAAAAAATGCTAGCTAATAAATAGAAGCAATGGTAGATGTAGAAAATCATCATTTTTGTAATCTCCAGTATACTAATTAGCAAGGATTATTAGTGGATGCTAAAATCATTGGGTGAACAGTGCTGGGCAGAATATTAAAATGGTCCTAAAGTATCATCTCAGAGTTAACTTATTAATTACAGAGGGAAGACATCGTGCCTTTGTAAGGGAGAGATCTGATGCTCACCATTTTAATCAAGTCATACAGTTTGGCATTGCCATAGTTAACTAATTAAATGTCTCCTAATGTGATGATATAGGGAGGAGGTAAATCAAGATTTACTCTGTTAGCTATAACTGTTAGAATCCTATTCTGAGGTTTTAAATAAGGGATGGTTGCAAATTAGCCTTTTGAGATTCCTTTGATTAAATTGAATAGTTGGCTAACACAGATTTTTATTGTACTTACCTCCTACATTACTGTGATGTTTGTATGATTTAATATGTATAAAGCATTTGAATAGGGTCTAGCACGTGGTGTTACATAGTAAATACTGCTTCTACCATTCTTCAGAGCCTGGTCTTCTAACCAAGAAATATTGTGTGGTGGTGAAATATCTCTTCCTTATAAATGCTTTTGTCTAGCTTTAATATTACTGGGAGTTGCTAGTTCAGTGTTCTTTGGGTGTCACAAAGGTAGAGGGTGGTGTTTGTATTTTCTATGTCAGTTGAGTAATTTTTGCAGATTATTTTTGATTTTTTGATTTCTGTATTTGTAGGATAATTTATGGAGTGGCTAGAGAGCTATAATAATATTTAGAAGTTGTTAAATGAGGAAGAGGAAAATTGTAGCATTGATTAAGGTGGCAGGCATTTTTTGGAAAAAGAATTAACTCAGATATGGTTTGTGTTGGCACCAACGAAGCCATTTTAATCTAAACCTCTTGTTTTCATTTTCAATTCCTAGTGCGATTGACCCTTGAACAATATGGGTTTGAACTGCATAAGTCCACTTAAACGTGGGTTTTTTCCTGATAAATACAGTACTAAATGTATTTTTTCTACCATGTGATTTTGTTAATAACATTTTCTTTTCTCCAGCTTATTGTCAGAATATAGTACAGTATTCTGACTTAAAAAGGAAGGTTAGGGATGCCTAGGTGGTTCAGTCAGTTAATTATTGGACTATTGATTTCAGCCTGGGTCTTGATCTCAGGGTCATGAGTTCAAGCCTCATGTTAGGCTCCGCACTGGGCATGAAGCCTACTTTAAAAAAAAAAAAAAAAGGTTTAAATAAATCAGGAAAACACTGTTGCTCTTTTGGGGAAAATTTTTCCTTTTTAATTTTTATATATTATAGTCTTTACAGTTTTATTTGGAATTTATATCATGAAGAATTAATATCCATAACATCTATAGGGCTTCCAGAAATGAGGACCTACAACCCTATAGAAAAAGAGGCAGGTGTTAGGAACTACTTTGCCTTTTTCAAAAAGGAATACGAATGTCCCCTAAACATGGGAAAATGCTTAAATTTTGCTTATAATAGATATAAAAATTAAATCTGCACTGAGGCATCATTTCTCACTATCAATTTGGCAAAAACCCAAAAGTTTGAGTATATCTATACTATCTTTATAAGATAGTGGGGAAACAGATACATTGAAAGGGGTGATGCACCAGACAGAATTAAAGCACTCTTTTTTTTAAACTGATGCTAAAGTAATTCTTATGTGCAAAGATTTTCAGTCTTTATTCACTTTAATGAGTGGATCCTTAGGAAAAAATAATGATCCCACGATAAAGGAAGCAGCAGAACAGCCATGGCAAGCTAAGTCTCACAGTACCTTTGTGGAGAGGATGGAGGGGTACTGGCTGAAGAGACAGACAAATGGATACATTTTAGCTGGTTAAGTAGTCAAACCATATTAGACAATGATTCTCTTATGTCTCCAGTGTTTCATACAGATTAATTTTTAATCACTGAGTTTGATGAACATTAGAAGGCATGCTTATGAACTTTATAGTGAGCATTTCATACGTTGGGACTGACAGGCTAAGTAAGGATTGTTAAGGATCCACTTCGGTAAAGTGAAAGGAATTAAACATTCCAGTTAAAAAGCAGAGAGCATCAAAATGAATTTAAAAAAAAAAGCAAGATCCAACTATATGATGTCTATAAGAAATACCCTGAAAGAGGTAAAAGAATAAGAAACAGCATGATGTACCATACAAACACTAATAACAAAACTATGTTAGACAAATTAATATCAGACAGATTGGGGGCACTACCAGAAGAGAACATAGCATGTGAAAATTAAATGATCCACAAGTGCTGTAGAAACTTAGAGAAGATATAACCTTGTATAGCAAAGAATTTGGGTTCTTTCTAGGGTTTTGTTATTCACATCACAAAAGCAGAACTTTCTGTGGTTGCTTTAGGCAGAATGCAGCCCCTCAGTGCCATCCTGGGGGAAAGCATTAAAATCAGGAGCCAACTGGCTGTTGCCTTAGAAATGCTGGACAAGCTCTTCATAGACCTGACTGCCCGTTTGGCTATTTGTGCAGATACTTGGTATTAAAGTAATTAAATCTTAATATTGGTGTAGAATGTGCCTTTTCCTGCTACTTCTCTGACATGGGTCCTTGCTGTCCCATACATGTAACTGCCTAGGACAGTGTTGCTGTTACAAAAATTGTTTGGGGGCGCCTGTGTGGCTTGAGTTGGTTGAGTGTCCCACTCTTGGTTTCAGCTCATGTCATGATCTCATGGTTTGTGAGTTCAAGTCCTGTGTCAGGCTCTGCACTGGCAATGGGGGCCTACCTGAGATTCTCTCTCCTTCTCTCTGTCCCTCCCCTGCTCACACTCTCTCTCTTAAAATAAAACTTTAAAAATAAAAATAAAAATTGTTTGCATCCAAGGATGCTGGAGTATGTATGTGTTGGCTTGCTTTTTTCATATAGTGTGAAAGATTTCTCAAATTATTTTTGATGCACTTCCATTAATTTTTCACGATTATTAATTTGCACAAGTGTTCCAAAAGGGGAAGGGTGGCAACAGTTATCATCATTAAAATGGAATATTGCTTTATATAATTGAAAAGTTTAAATTAATACTTTTTTTTTTTTTTTTTTTTT